AAGTCTTTTGATGCACATAAGTTTTTAATTTTTAGTATGTCCCACTCATCTATTTTATCTACTTTTGTTTGTGTGGTTTTCAAAATGTTTTGTAGTCTGTGTATTCCCTGAATTAGTGCCCTCATATTTGTCCCGAGTTTTTCATTGATGGCCTTCATAATTCTGGGATTCACATTTAGGTCCTTCAGTGCGAGGTATTTTGTGATATTGATTAGAAGCACTTTGATGAACAATGGAGCTGTTGTAATAAGCCAGTCTTGTAATAGTTTACAAAAGCATTACTTCTAGAACTTTCGTAAACTATAAATTTCTTACTTCACTCACAGAGATTTGCAGTAGGACCCAGGTATCTCTTTTGTTCTTGTTTCTTTTTTAGAAACTTTCTATGTAATTCTTAATTTCAGTCACCCGAGGGAATCATGTTTTAGAGATTAAATGAGCAATGCCAGTCATAACCTGTTTGTGAGTAATCCCCTGATCTCAGTCCTTGAGGCAAAAGAGTTTCTCAACTCCTGGCATTTGGGACTGGATATTTCTGAATTTTGGAAGCTTTCTTGTGCATTGTAGGATGTTTATCAGCCTAGCCTCTACACATTAGATGCCAGTAGCCTCCCCCTTCCTATTGGTGACAACCAATTAGGTTTCCCCCAGTTGACAACCACTCCTGTAGCGGTGTTGTTGTTGTTAAGTGCTGTTGAATCAGTTCTAACTAATAACAACCGTGTTCACAACAGAATAAAACACAGGCCGGTCCTGTACCATCCTCACCACTGCTGTCCTTGTGTCAATCCATCACATTGAGGGTCTTCGCTTTACCAGGCATGATGTCCTTCTCCAGGGGACTGGTCCTTCCTGACAACATATCCAAAGTTTGAGAAATGAAGTCTCACTATCCTGGCTTCTAAGAAGCATTCTGGTTGGCTGTACTTCTTCCAGGACAGATTTGTGTGTTCTTTGGCAGTCTGTGGCGTTTTCCATATTCCTCACCAACACCAGATGTGGCAGTAGTTAGGGCGCCTCTAGGTACCGTAAAGGGGAGGTCTTCACACATGTCTCGGTGTTTGTCTTTATAAAGACACATAAGACTTAGTCCAAAAAATGAAAAATCTATGCCATGGGGCATGTCCAACATGACTTTGGCTTGTATAATTTTCAAAGCAAATGCAGTCAGTAGTCTACCTAAACTATATGTTGTTGTTGTTTTTGTTAAGTGTACTTGAGCCTGTTCCTATTTATAGCTATCTGTATAGTGTTTCCAAGGAGCGCTTGGTGGGTTTGAACTACCGACATTGCAGTTAGCAGTCTGGTGCTTATCCTACAGTGCCACACCAGGAGTCCAAAATTCGCACCCATTCTCTATTTAGAGAGCTTTCAAAAAAGAAGGTCCAATCCAAATTGTGGCTTCCAGGGACCTCGGCTGGGCTAGTTCAGTTCTCAAGACAGAGAAGTCAGCCGGAAGGTTATACCAATTGTTTTTCAGGGTTTCTAAGGGGTAATCTTGGCAGTTTTTCTCAAAGGACACAGGATAATCACAGGGGCTTATGAAGACTGTTTAAGAAAACTGCAAGTTGTATAGGTTAACAGTTTGGACCAAGGAAGTTTTTCCTATCACAACAATGCACCTGCTCATTCTTAGAGGGAAGCAAGAGCGGCCCTAGGAGAATTTTGTTGGGAAACCTTCCCCTATGAACCTGATAGCCATGATCTTGCCCTTCAGACATTGTTTTGCTCCCAAAACTAAAAGAGCATTTCCAAGGAACACCATTTGTGTCCTTCAAGGATGTCGAAGCTGCTCTTCTGACATGGTGTAGATGAAGGAACACAGAATCCTTCTGGGAAGGGTTAGAGAGAGGGAAACAACCACCTTCAGAAGTATATAGACCTAGATAGATATTTTTATTTAATAAAGGTTTTCTATGATTTTCTGCGAGTGCTTTTTCACTTACCCTCATATGCAGTATATAAAGACTTTAAGTTGTATTTTCAGAATGATGATTAGCACATTGGATTATTCAGAAGATGGGAGTAATATGACTTGACATATATATTTGAAGAATCTCTAGGTTATGATTAACTCAAGCCTCCTCACCTTAGATCCACATATAAACATCACTTCAGTTACTTTGTGGAACACGAAGTGGATGAGGACAGGGCAGTAGAATAAACTGGGAAGGGCTTGGGGCAGTAGACCAATTTTATAGTAAGAACATTAGCTTGGATTAATGTTGGTAGCAATGAAGGTGGTAAAAAGTGCTTTGATTCTAAATATAGTTGGAAGGTATTGGTGATGTTATCGTGGATTTTTGGGAACCAATCATGTGACACCTAAGAGGATGATAGAGGAGGCAAGGGTAATTCTCAAGATCTAGGTCTAGACAGCTGAAGGATGGAGTTGGCCATTCATTGAGAAATGGAAGACTGAGAAAAGAACAAGATTTGTAGGGAACTGATTATAACCATAAAGTCATATGGTTTAGCGACAATATTTTTTAAAAGTTGAGTGTTTGTTAGCTTTATATCTTCCCTGTATCATTTATTCCTTTGTTCCCAAAATTTTTATCGTATTTCTTATGGACTAAATGTTGAAGATCTAATTTATGCCAAGTCTTTATTCCTGCCCTTCTGATCTATTAACTCTGATAACAATATGATAAATGTGTGGGACAGGAATGCTGTAATAACGGGTCACGTAGTAAGCCATCACCACAAGTCTGTCAGTTTGTCTTACTGGGGTGGCTTGCGTGTTCAGCTAAACTTACAGACTAAGACAGAGTAGGAACAAGGAGAAAAAGCCTACTTCCGAATATTGAGTCACTGAAAACCTCATGAATAGCAGTGGAGCACTGTCAGGTAGCACAAGAATACTGACAATCGAAACATGATGAAGAGCACCGGAATATTGCCAGATATTGTGCCAGAAGATGAGCCCCTCAGGTTGGAAGGCACTCAGAATCCAACTGGGGAAGAGCTGCCTCCTCAAAGTGGAGTTGACCGTGATGACATGAATGGAATAAAGCCTTCTGAACTTCCATTTGCTGATGGGGCACAACTCAAAATGAGGGGAAGTAGCTAAAAACATCCATTAATAATCAGAACATGGAATGTATAAAGTATGCATTTAGGAAAATTGGAAGTTGTCAAAAATGAAATGGAATGCAGAAATATTAAAATCCTAGACTTTAGTGACTGAAATGGACTGGCATTGGCCATTGTGAATCTGACAATCGCATGGCTTACTATGCCAGAAATGACAAAGTGGAATGGCATTGGGTTCATCACCAAAAATAACATTTCAAGATCTATCTTGAAATACAGTGCTGTCTGTGATAGGATAATACCCGTATGGCTCAAAGAACCAGTTAATAAAACTATTATTCAAATTTATGCACCAACCACTAAAGCCATTAATGATGAAATTGAAGAATTCTACCAACATCTTCTGTCTGAAATCAATCAAACATACAATCAAGATGTATTAATAATTATGGAAACTGGAATGCAAAGAGGTTGGAAACAAAGAGGAAAGATCAGTAGTTGGAAAATATGACCTTGGTGATAGAAACAATGCTGGAGAGATTGTATGGTAGTCTAATGACGTCTTCATTGCAAATGCCTTTTTTAAACAACATAAAAAAAAACGACTATGCACATGGACCTCACCAGATGAAATAACACAGAAGTCGAATTGACTATATCTGTGAAAAGAGATGGTGGAAAAGTTCCATACCATAACCAAAACAAGGTCAGGAGTACATCGTGGAACAGACCATCAATTGCTCATATGCAAATTCAGGCTAAAGCTGAAGAAAATCAAGTCCATGAGAGCCAAAATATAACCTTGAACATATTCTACCTGAATTTAGAGATCATCTCAAGAACAGATTTGATGCATCAGACACTAATGACTGAAGACCAGAAGAGTTGTGCGATGACATCAAAAACATACAGGAAGAAGCAAAAGGTCAGTAAGAGACAAGAAAGAAGGAACAGTCCAAAATGGATGTTTGAAGACACCCTGAAACTTGTTCTGCAGTGTAGAGATGCTAAAGCAAATGGAAGTAATGAGGAAGTAGAAGAGCTGAACAGAAGATTTCAAAGGGCAGCTCGAGAAGATGGTCAATTTTCTTATTGAATTTTGCAAGGCCTTGGAGTTAGATAACCAAAAGTGAAGAACATGGTCAACATTTGTCAAATGGAAAGAACTGAAGAAAAAAAATTCAAACCTCAACTTGCAATATTGAATGATGGGTAAAATATTGAATGATGCAGAAGGCATCAAACGATGATTGAAAGAATACACAGAGTCACTGTACTAGAAGGAAATGGTCAGTGTTCAACCATGTCAAGAGGTGATTTATAATCAAGAGCCAATGTTTAATTTTGTTGTTGTTGTTGAGAATATACACAGTAGAACATACACCAATTTAGCCATTTCTACTGGCCTTGCACTTAACAACAACAACGTGTACAGTTCAAGCACGTTGATTACGTTATTTGGGTTGTGCATCCATTCCTACCCTCTTTTCCTGAATTACTCCTCTCCTGTCACATAAATTCACTGCCCCCCAAGGTTCTCCAAAAGGTTTCAGTGGCTGCGGTTTCAAAAGTAGATCATCAGCTACCCAAAAAGGGGGCCGGGGGGCGGGCTACAAAGGCAAGAAGTGACTGGCTTACAAGCTTTCAAGAGGGAACCTAGATCCAGAGAGCATGGAGGAAGATAGAATCTCCACTGAGTAGTATCCAATCTGTCTAGGCGGGGCTGATGAAAGGAAATGCGGATAGGTCTGTTGTGATACAATAGTGAATAATTGTTACCATGACTGATTGTGAGGGTTGGAAATGTTAAGGTAGATGTTTTGTAGCAAGAAGGGAAGTGATTGACTTTTCAGTCTAGAAGTGGAGGTCCCTAAGACCATCAAGCGGAGAGCAGGACCCTACCCAGAGACGCAGTGATGCCTGGGATGGAGGCAGAGATGATGACATGGAGAGATGGAGCAGTTGGGGACTTTAGACCCAAAGAGGGAGAGGAGCTGTGTGCTGATGACGGGGGGAGGCTTGTAGGCTGTACCCTTTGGTTGGGTGATGATGCATGGAGGGGATTGTAACCATAGCAATGAAACAATATACGATAGGATGAACGTAAAACTAATGTTCTCCCATGTAAACTATCACATAATTCACAATAAAACATTAAAAAAAGTAGATCATCGGGTGTTCAAGGTGCCTTCTGGGTGGATTCTTAACAGTCAACTTTTAAATTCGCAGTCATTGTACCCATTTGTACCACCCTGGGACTCTAATAGGGGACTGTTGTTGTTATAAGATGCTGTAATGTCTGTTTCAACTCACAGGGACCCTATGTGACAGATTAGAACTGCCCCCAGAGTTCTCTTGGCTGTAACTTCATGGAACAGATCACCGGTCTTTCTCCGGTGGAGTTAATGGGTGGATTCGAACCAACCTTTCAGTTAACAGCCAAGAGCTTAACCGTTGCATTAACTAGTTATTAACTGGTGCCATAATAAGAGACTAGTTCATGAAGTTACAGCAATGGCAAAATAGTTTTCAGCCGTCAGAAACTTTTCAAACCCTAACAGCCTGGTATTATTGTTTTGAAAACGGCAAAACCTAGGAAGGAAGACATTAAAATGTTTAGTTTTATCTCCAGGTCGGGGAGTAATGTTCAACTTTTATTTTCTTCTTTGTATCTTTATGTATTTTACTAATTCCTTACAGTTCATAGTGATATGTATTTTGCTTGTGTTAGGGAAACATAATTCTCAACTGAAATAATAAAAAATATTTTAAAGTAATATAGACCAGAAATGGTAGAGGTCATTCCTACAGAGATGTAAACATAATACTTGTATTTTCTAGCATGGACCCTGTGTCTTAAATCTCTTATTAATTTTAGAAGCACAATATTAAGTGAAAACAGTCCCAGAAAATTGCCTGCAGAATATGCCTATTTTCATAAGACTCAATATCACTCAAAACTAAACAATATCTCATTGGGGGATGTGCATAGAAGTACATATGTATAATTTTTGTTGTTATTTCGTTTTGTATAGTTTAAGCCAGGAAATGATAGATGTAAAATTCAAAGGATTAGAATGTGATGAGGGCAGGTAGGTATTGGTAATGTATGAGGTCAGTAGTTGAATGCGTTCATAAGTGTTCGTTTCCACCCTTTACTGTAGTTATTTTACATACATTTGGAGTCAGATGTAAATGCAATGACTATAAAATATAAAACATATTCTTTACAGTCCAAGTGCTCTGCCTGTAGCATGAATATTTATTAAAAGAATGACTCTATCAACATTAAATTTTTAAAGAGAAAGAACACTTATTAGTAACTTTTATGATGATGGTATGTGCAAACTGTCCGTATTTTTAGCCTAGTCTCTATTATGACTTCTGAGATGCATTTCTGAAACTGGCAGTAGCCTGGCTAGGTTCCGTCTGCCTTTAAGTTCCTTCCCAGCCTGTATTGTGCTAGTTCCCTTGGAAACCAGCCTCAGGAGGACTTAAGTGCAGGGACCCAGGCTGGAGGACAGTTTTCCCGAGCCTAGAGAACGATAAGAGAAATTCTTCCTCAAGAAACACTATTTGTGAGCGTCATTCCTGGACCCCACAAGATTGGATTTACTGGTTTCTTATACCTTCAACACGGCGCATGAATGGTTTCCTAAATATGTTTTTCATATTTTAGGCTTGCGTTTCTTGGTTCGTCTCTGCACAGATATTGGATTAAAAGAAGTTCAAGAATATGCAACAAAACTCAAGAGATTGGAAAAAATGAAAGAAATAAGGGAACAGGTATCTCATATGGGCTGAAAACTGCTTTCTGCTAATTTTCAAAATGTTAGCCTTTTATAGCTCAAATGAGAGCGATTGGGAGCGTCGGTCTAAAACACAGAGTTGAAATTATGTAT